ATTCCTGCCCGCGCGCGCCATCAAAGGCCCGACAACCCCCGTCTCTTCTGAAACGCCCACGTCCCCGTAGCCCGTCCCCGCCTCTGCCCCACCAGCCGTCTGGCGCAGATCTTGACCCCATTCTCGTCCCGCTCACTCTTACCGAAATGACCTTGCTTGTGGTTTTTATTTTTCCCCTGCCCTTTCCACTCCCAGTGCTTCTCACCATCGTGGGATCGATGCCGTTTATCGCAATACCGGACTGTGAGCGGAGCACCTTTCGCCCACCTCGCTGGGAAGGTGACATCCACCCCGGTCTACGATGACGGCTTGCGACCTTGTCAGCAGTGGAGAGAGAGAGAGAGAGAGAGAGAGAGAGGAAGAGAGCGGGTCTTGCTTTCGCAGTGCGACATGAAGTTTTCCCGGCACGAGACAGAATCGTTCGTCACAGCACCTCGCCTCTTTGGCGGCCTGTCAATGGCCAATACAGGCAGGGTCCGCCGGCTGACGGGGAGGCGCCGCGGGGATTTTGTGGCGGAGGATCGTCGAGCCTCATCTCGCGCGTCGGCCTTGTGCCCCTGCCGAATCTTGTGCTACATCTTCACATAAGCGTCGTTCCCTCGGCACAACACTGACTCCAGTCGACCTGACTTTGGGGGTTCACCTTGTTTTTCTTTCTCCTTCTTCGTTTGTGCAATGCCTGACACGACGAGCAAACGCAGCCATGAACAGCGTGTGAGGGTCTGAGTCGTGGAAACGTGTATTAGAGTTTTTCCCAGCTGTGACACATACCGTATCCTTGCTATGAATCGACAAATCATGCTACATGTAGAACCCACTGTAATTCGTCTGACAAGAATTTCATCCGATGTTCTGGCACCATGTCATTCCAACTATGGAACCAAAGGCAGCAGTGGTGGCCTTTCTGACCCGAATCGCCGCCATCCTAGTGAGCCACGTAGGTCTCCATCCACCCCTCTTTGGTGCTCATACAAAATAAGTTTCACTCATCACATCTCGCATCATCTCACGTCACATTTTCTCCGTCTCGCTCTGCCGGCCCCCGCTTCAGCTTACTGCGGCGGCGGCGGTGGCGGCGGCTGTCCATTCTGGCCTTGGCTCCGCTGCATCTGCGCGAGCATCGCCGCGAAGAAGGCGGGACTGAACTGCGCCGCTTGCGCGCCCTGCGCATTCTGCTGCGCGCCGGGCCAGCCAGGTGGTGGCGGCGGCGGCGCGCCGGGAACCCCGCCACCTTGCGCGGGTGGCGGCGTCGGCATGCCTGC